GTCAAGTCTCCAATATTAAAAGAGTAAAAAAATAAATAAGAGCTTCCCCGATTATCCCCTTTTCCACTTAGCGAGAACAACAAAGCACCGCCTGTGGAAAAACCAAACGTGCAAACAATCGAAAAAACGCCCAATGGCAGTCTCGTATAGCCATTACGGTGTACGCAAACACGCGGGCGTATAGTCTTTTTCAAAAGTTATCTCGAGAAAACCCGTATGGAGCCGAAATCGCTCGCGTTTACCTCGAACCCAAGTGCGCAATAGCAGTTGATTGAAAAGAAAAAAAAAAAAAAAAAAAAATCCGAGCCCCCAATAAAAAGGAGGTGGGTGAGCTGGAGAAGGGCGATAAAAATAGAAGAGAAAACGAGGGGGAGGGTGGGCGTCAAGAATAGCCAATTCGAGGCCAATAATTGGTATCCTAATCAATGGAGCGCGATCGGTCAGCCGTACTGCCGCCCACTGTCGCTCGTACCTATACGCATAGATATATACATGTAGGGTGTGTGGGTGCAGGGCAGAACAGTACACGCTCTCGGGACTGATGGGCAATGCAGGGCACAGCTGCAAACAGAAGGGGAGCTAGAGTGGCGCTCAAAGAGCCTACCCCCCTTTTTTTTTGTTCCCTCCCTCTTTTTTTTTATTTTATTTTTTTTTTATTCGAGAGTACGTACATACGTGACAGAGAAACGCGTGTACCTGTACTCACAATATTGGGGGAGGATGGTAGACGATGGAGCGGTGATGGTGGTGGAGGAAAAACGCTTTGAATAATTACAGCGGTGTTTCGGTGATGAGGATGAGATTAACCAAGAGATGGGAGACTTTATATTGTATACACCGATGATTTATCGATGGGCCGATGTTGTCGATTGATTACTAAATGTCTCGATGATGTATGTATATTTTTCACTCCGTCAAAGAATGCCTATATAGCCTGCGGAAGGGAGCCAAGCATCTGTGAAACTCGTGGCGCGTCGTTGCTGTTGTGTAAGGAAAAACACAAGGAGAGAAATAAGGAAGGAAGGGAAAAAAACTCGCAAAACAATGGTTATAAGCTTTGCAATTTATTACGCAAGTTTCAGAGTAATTAACCTCCTTAGTTTCTTTAAAGGAGACGTGCGCCTGAGGGGAGGGGAGGAGCGCGGAACAACGCGAATTTAAAAGAAGAAGAAGACGAAGAAAAAATAAGCAAGGGAAGAATAAATTTAACTCGCTGGCGACGTACCGTGTATACTATATAGTGCACCGTAACAGTGAGTATATATATATACATACAGCGCATAGCGGGAGAGAAAAGTTGTAGAGGAGCGGGGCAGGGGGGAAAGAAAAATGAAAAAGAAGGTGGTCGTTGGAGTTTTTCAATTAAAATGGATTATGCTCGGGGCACGTGCCGTAAAACGCAAACTTGATCAAAAAAAGGCTTTTGTAATTGACCTGATTCACCGCTCCTGTTGGAGATAAAATATATACGAGCGAAGCGTGAATTATTGTCGCCCCCCCCCTTCGAATTTCTAATTATCATCAACATCGAGTTGTGAAAATTTTCTAGTAATTGGTCCGACTCAACTTTTCAGAGTCACCTCATTAGCTGCGAGTAGTTTTACAATTTATGTAGGTGCTCCGAATACCTCCGATACTCTATTGTACCGCTACCATATTTTTCCATAAAAAAAATGAAAAAAATGAAAAAAAAAAAAATGCAGCAAAACCATGTCACCTCCACTTGAAAAACTCGAGAGGAGAGCCGTACATATTCCCTTCGATCGAAAGAGAGAAACGAGATTCATCTTAATATTCCCGGAAAATTTTTAAAATACGACAGCCGAGCTAGACAGGCTGTATATTATGTGCCGATGTACATGTGGCTTCTGCAATATATTGCACTGACACACACATACAGAGAGAGGGTTCGTCGAATCAGGAAGAAAGGATATCGGATTTAGCGCAACGCAAACCGAGCCCCGAGGCATGAATTGCCGGTGATTGGAAGGGAGCGAGAGCAGCGCGACAAACATCCGGAGGAGTCGTCTGCGTTGCTCTCGCAGCCTCGAGGGACGAGGGAGAGGATGGTTGATCATGTGTATACGTGCAGTGTGCAGTATCCATACGCGTGTTGTAACTATACAAGCGCCTCGTGTGGGTAAGCGCTTTATTAAGGACTCAGCGAACAGTGGCCCATACACGTGTACACATTACATTCGCGTTCCGTTTTGCGATGCTGCACATTTAGGCACGCAAAGTGTAAGTTCGCGAGCGAGTTCTCGCTGGTGATTAATCTACCGCGTCACATACATACATCGTGTGGTTATGGATCTACATTTTATTTTTATAAACAAAAACGATACTTGAAAAATATTCTTTATTCACGCATGGATCTATATACAGATCCATGGAATCCACCAATCCAAAAATGAAGCCCAAAATGAGCCCGAAACTAATTCGAAATTCGTAGTCCCCCCCCTTGAATGTTCCTATCCACTTTTTGCGGACGGAAGTCATTGGAAGAAACATCGACACGGAGCAGTTTCTGTCTGGTCAGAGTGCGGTTGCACGATAACACCCAAAGTCGCTGGCCATCTGCAAAAAGCACGTACGTGGCGTTGATATAATAATAACGCGGTGGTACTTTTTCATCGTAACGAAAGCCAATAACTCATCGAAGGCCCGGCAACAATGGCCGTATTATCGTTTCCCCGGGTCGTACACGCGTAAACCAGCGTTTATTTGTATATATGTATGATACACACGCGCGCGCGCACGAGAGGACGAAACAGCGGCAGAGCAGCGCCGGGCAGCGGGGCTTTCGTTAACCGCACAGGGACACCCGAGATTTACCGCTGCCGCGCACATACACACACCAAGCGTATAACTGTGGAACCTGCACCCTGCAACAGGACGTACACGTGTAAATACAGGTACGTAAGGAGAAAGATGGATCGGAGAGCCCGACCCACCCCTGCCCCGTATACTCCTTCGAGATCGAGAAGCTCTGGTTGGACTGGCACCCCCCACCCACCCCTCCCCCTCTCTCCATTCGTCTTTCCTAATTAACCGGCCAGCCCAAGGTTCTATACGTGTATACATCCACTCTCGGTGCACACTCTCTTTGGAGATTTCTGTTCGTCGAGGGAAGTTTGCGTATCTCTTGGACGCGCTTCATTTTCTCCAGTCTTGTAAGACACGTATAGTCACGCAACTCGCGTCCCTTTGCACTTTTCTCTCTTCGCCGTCTTTGTACCCTACACCCGCGTACACGGCCCATATCTCCAATTGATCCGTCTCCCTCTAAACCCGTGCATTATACACCTACGACCGGTCCTTCATCTGCATATTTCTAATTTGCCGTGCGCCCCTCCTCCCTGCCCCTCTAGTTTCAATCTCACTTCCGAATCCCTTCCTGTACGTCTTTCGCCGGGATACGTGTATATCCTCAAAGCAGTTATTATACGAGCAGGTCATCGGTCCCCGGTATATGTAGGTACACCCGCGCGAGCAGCCACAATATATATATATACACACGCGGAGCCAAAGTTGGGGGAGTTAAGCCAGTTACATGGAGGAAATGACGCCACGGCCCGATTCAAATTGGCCCTCGGGCTCTATCTCCTCCCCCCCCCTTGGCGTCTTGGTAGGTGCACCCAAGAATCGGGAGCTTAATTTCCCGGAGTCGGACTCGCCGGGGAGTACCTGTACGTACATATATATATGTAGGCTCGGGTTTTTCAGTCAGGGGGAGATCCCGAGGTTTCAATTAATGCCCGCCGTATAAGAGGTGTGGCGCGAGCGATAGGGGAGTTCCTTGTCCTCCTCCGGAAGTTCTTGGGGGCGGAGGAACGCCCGAGTCGCGGATAATCGCCAAGGGGGTATATATATATTATTCTCGAGGCACCGAAACCTATGGCGAAAAATCATCCGAGAAGGAACTACACACTGGCGCATCGCAGGGGGTGTATACGCGCGCGCGCAAATGAGGGCCATTAGCCCGTTCGGGGCCAAGGTGTATCCGTCTCGCGGATGACGGAGCGCGGCGGCGGAATCATGCAAATGGGAGTTTCAATTATCGTTATTTATTACACGTCAATTCAGCGGCCCCGTGGGGATAATATTATACAACGCGAGCTGTTGTGTATTTGACTCAGGCGACGGGCTTTCCCAGAAACACCCCTGTTTTGTGTAACCTGTATAAGTTACATTTGAGCCAACGGGGCATTGTCGACCGCACCGGTGAAAAGAGCTATACGTTCGTACGAGTTTTGCGCTCGCAGTGCCGTACACGTATCGGCTCATTTCGCAATCCTTGGACTGGCCGCCGCGACCTCTCGATCGCAAATTGGGCAAACTTCCTCGAAAGTCGCCGAGGTAGCGAGCACTGGAGGACCAAGAGTCGAATAAACAAGCCACGGCTGCCGAGGCGGAAGGGAGAAAGAGGGTAGAAAAGGGGACGCGCAAAACTCGTTCGCGCGCGGCCAGTCCCATTAGTAAGCACCGGTTAAAAGTTACCCCTTCCGGGGCACTGGGAGTATGTACGGAAACGGTAAGCCTAAAGACTTGCCGTAAACGTAATAATACCAAAAGTTTCGCCCCTTTGGGCAGCGGCTCGTAACAGCAATCAGCATCTTTACTTCGGTCGGGGGTGATGGGATCGGATGACCTGCACGTGGATGATATTTCGCTCCTTTGAGGTCTTAGATTCCTGCAAAGTGCACGCCAACTTGTACCCCATACGTATAAGATTGGATATGAAAGTTTGGGTATACTTGAAAGTTTATGGTAGCGTATAACTGAAACAATTTCGAGTTTGTGCTAAAGACTTGGGGTTGCATTCGGTTTGCATCTGAATTTCACGAGAACTTTGTACCGGTAAAAATATGTATATGTGACTTTGTTCGAGTAAAAATGAACCAAACTGCTGTATAGTTATCATCAGGGGTTCGCAAGTGGCAACGAAAAAAGCAAAATAGCAAAAATACTTGAAAATATAGTGATGGGACGCAACTCACCTCGACAGCGGACTGCTGATGACGTAGTGGGTGTAGTAGAATATGCTGATGACGGAGACGAGGAGCAGAGCGGCGACGCATCGTTTGACGGTCGCCTGTTTGACGATGTAGCGCGGAGCGAAGGCACCCAGGAGCGGCACCACCGCCTCCCCGGCCGTCAGCTTCATCGCGACGACCACTTGGCCGATGAGCACCAGCAGCCTCCTCCGATGCTTAGCCAACGCGACGACCCTCGTGGGCCACCAGTGGCCCTCTCTTTATGGTGACTCTTGGTCCCCTATACCTATGGCACACGGGGCTGCTTTTATTCCTCTTCTTCTCTTTTCGTACCGAAAAACGCAAGGCCTGCCGAAAGTTTTTACATTCGCTCCAGGAACTCAACCGCGTCTACTCGAGCCTCCTCCCACTGGTGTATGGCACATCGTCGCCTCTCTTACGGGCCAAAGTTTCTCGTCCCTCCGCTAGAACTCGTAATCGCGGTGCACGTTCCGTAAACTACCTCCAGCGAGTTTCCGCGGGCGGGGCTGTATAAGCCACCCCAAGTGAGTACCGTAGGCCGGGACTGAACGAGTCGCCGGGGAAGGAGAGCGGACAGCGTCGGAGGAGGAGAAAGAATTATTGTTTTCCGAGGCAGGAGCTGGAGTCCGCTGACCAGAGGGCGCCTATGTGTGGCAGCTAGGAACGTACGAGTGGCACGCGCGGGGCCATTTGTCAGGCTGCCGAGGGGGGTTTCTCTATTACCTCCCTGTGTTTACCGAACCGACTCCCATACGTGATCCAACGGTCTTCTCTATTATCCTCCGCGCGAGTGTGCTCGGGGATGAGGGTCACTTTTGTTTCGGCCTCGCGAGCTCGGCTTTCCGGGCGGTGGGAGAAAACTGCTTATCCGGTTTCGCGGAATGGATGGAAGAGCTGGTGGTGGTGCTGGTGATGCGGCCTCGGCTGCTGCCGGTCCATGGCTGATATCGGCTTACCTTCTCTGCAACAGTGAGAAAAAAAAAAAAAAAAAAAAAAAACAACGGTAAATATTAGTCGAGTGCTGATGGTTATTGCCGGGGGTGTTGTTTCTTCGTTAATTGAGATACACTTGGGGCTGTTCTGTTGGGGCCGGCGAGAGGTGGAGGAAATGGTACTGTAGGGGATCTATTGTGGACGAAAGGAGGGAAGATGCGAGGGCTGTGGGTTTAAGTAAGTATAGTATGTACACGTTTCGGGTTTCGCGGAGTTCGGTGTTAATGTCGATGATTTCGGTGCGTGTTAGTTCTGATGGCTACTCCATCGTCATTCGACTTTGCAGCATTGACGAGATTTTTTTTTTTCACTTCCCCTTATATTTATTTGTACATAATCGTTATGCGATAACGGACTTTGACTTGTAGGTATAAAATGAACAATCTCCGATGGTGTAAAAAATCCGTGCAATATTCAAGCATGCAGAGAAAAGTTCTTCGAATGAATGCAAACAATGTGTAAAATTTATCCGTAACGCATAAAAAAAGCAATCAATAAAATCCATATACGCTTGATAAGGGAAAAGAAAAACCTCCAACTGGCGGTTCGTGCACACAAACGATTTCCTATAATTAGCTTTTCCACCGGAAAAAAAAGCGACCGCAACTCATACTCGCAAATGGAGAGAGAGGAAATTCGATCTCGTCCATTCAGATTAGAACAAAAGGTAAAAAAGGTGGGGAAAGAAAAGAAAAAGAAGCGTCAGGATGGTATGGGGCTCGTTCGAGTCATAACTTTTTATCGGCGGGCCACTTAAAACCTCACGCAAATTACGTAACCCTCCCCCCCTCTGCTTTTCCCTCGAAGCCTAATCGAGCGAGCAACAATGCGCAAAAAACACAGTCCCGACCTCGAACCGAAGGCAAACTCTGTGATTCCCCGCCGTATAGGTAGTACCTACAGCAGTAGAGTAGTAGAAAAAAGACAAGGAATCGAGAGGGAGGAGGAGGAGGAGGTGGTGGTATAGTGCACAAAAAAGAAAGGCGAGGGGGACTGAACTGGAAAAAAGGAGGGGGAGTAGGGCGGGGGGATAATGGAGCTCCGAGAGTATAAGGAAAAAAGAGACGGGCGCGAGAAGAGTAGGCCGAGGACTCTACATGCGGTAGGTCGTCTCTTCCCTCCCCCCCACCACATACACACTCCTTCTGTGTACAGTAGGTACCAGAACTCATCTCTGTAGATACTGTACGTACGGAGCCGTAATTTTCCTCCCTCCTTCGAGGGATCAGTCTTGGAAATTTTTTTCCCTCGGCATTTCTACTCTTATTTTTTCTTTTTTTAATTTTCTCCGAAAGAAATGAAACGAAATGAGGCGTGATATTAAATTCCGAGACGGAGACGCTTAAGGGGAGGTTCGAGAAATTACCCCTCGCTGCCTTGGATCTCTGTGTTGTTTGTAGGGAAGAGAAAATATTTTAGGGCACGAAACTTGTTAAAAATGCACGAAATCACGGGATAAAGGAGCTGAGTTTTGGCTATTCGTAATCCCCGGCTGCAGTTTTCCGGTTAATCTCCTGCACCCCCGACCATCCACCCATACCACCTACACATTTTGCCCACCGACTGCAAGAAATTTCGGGGTTAGGGGGTGGGTTTGCAAAATTAATTTCCTTGATCCTGCGAGAGAGGCGGAGCGATAGGTACGGCATTTGTTACGCGTGGAAGCTCCTCGAGGGGAAAAAAGGGTGTTCTCGCTCACGTTATAACTTTCAACAAATATCCTGGGCAGATGCATGGCTTTTTGACAAAGGGGGGGGGGGAAATTCACGTTCAAACTTGCCACTTTGTAAGCTCGGAGGAAAAACCAAAAGTAAAAAAGTACGAGGGGGGAGAAAGAGAATTTTCCGTCACACAGCGAGGCAATAAATTCTGTCGCAACATCGCGAACCCTCGAGCTTTTCTGTTCCATCTCTGGAGGGCTGACCCGACACTCTGCGCTCTCTGCTTCTTCTGCCGCAGTCTGGCAATATTGATATCCACGACGAGGTGACTGCCGCGTGATAAAAGCTCGGGGAAGGTGAACGGAATGAAAAAAAAAAAAAAAAAAGTAATAATAATCATCCAGGCGCAGCTCTGATGTACAGAAATGGGGTTGGAGGGAAAATAGTGATAGAGGAAGGACGAAAGTTTGCGCGCCCCGGGCGCTACAGGATCTTGACTCTGGAATGATTTCTCGCGAACTTTAATCACATGCGACGTGTAGTGTTTTCCCAGTTCCCTCCACCCCTGATCTGACCCTATATGCGTGGGAGATCGTCTCCTTTCTCTACTCTTTTTTCTTCTGCATCAACAGCCACTCCCTGCCTATACGGTGTTGTCCACCTTCCGGCGACTCCTTCGTTATTATTTTACCCGATCGTTATTACATCCGAGGCAATAACGGGGATGAAAACAATATTTGCCGCTTCTTTTCCTCTTGGTCGGGATTGCGCAATGTCTTGCTCGCAACGATGTTTCTTCTTCTTTACGAGTAAAATTGTAAACCGTTGGAGGAATGTTACGAGATTTCTATGGGAAATTGGCTAGTGACGCGTGGGGTGGCAATGAGTTACGATTGCAAACTGCCGGGAAACTGTTTCGCGGAAGTGGCAACGCAACGAAGGGAAATCAGTTCATTCGTCGGGGCTTCGTTTCATTACAGGGAATAACGTATCAGCAAAAAAATCAAATAAACACAAAAGTCTGTTCTGATATGTATACCATCCGCAGAGTAAATGAAGATCGAGCAGATTTCAATTTGTTGAAGAATAAAAAGTAAATTTAATATTTCCAGCGCACGCAGGGAACAAAAAATGCAATTCATTGGAAAAGGATATTTAATTCAACGGGAAAATCCTCTTTTTCCGGAGATTCGTAAATTGTAAATGAAAAACACATCGAAGCGTTCAATTTGCAGTACATGGGTATGTACGCATTGATCGATAAAAATATATTAATTTTCAATAAAACAGAACGAACGAAAGGGGAGAGGCAAGAGAAACAAATTCAAAGGTATTTTTTTATTTTTTTTTTTTTTATTGGAATGTCTGGTAGTGTCAGTCGGAAGCTAGTTGCATCGGGCGCTTTGGAGAGAGCGCCGCGCGAGAAGAGCCGCCCATGCAGCCTTGGCAATTGCAGTGGGTCGAAGGAAGTGAAAATCGACAAAAAGAAGAAGAAGAAGAAGAAAAAAAAAAAAAGTAGGTGGGGCCGCTATGAAAGGGAATAAAGGAGAGCCGCTCAAACGGATCCAATTTCATCATCGGCGCTAGTAGGTATATGATATCGGTGGGGTGCACGAAGAATTCCAACTCTGCGCGCGTGATCTTTTTTAATCCTTTTTTTTTTCTTCATATTACGTATAATACCTCCATAGAGATTTTTTTATTTCGATGCCGTATATTTTGCAGAGCTCAATGGTCTTTTAATCTGCCAAATGCATATACCCACTGCTACCGTGTCTCTCTCTCTTCATCTGCTCCGTATGGCTCTCAACATCGGCAGCTGTGCGGGAGTGGAATTGCTGTTCGCTAATACATTCGACGCCGTAATCCCTCGGATCAGCGATCGCGTTGACGAACAAAAAATCCCCTCGATCGTCTCTCGCGCGTTTTTGCCGTGGCTGTAGCTACCGTATCTTTTTAGCCCGCCCTGCAGGTGTAATGCTTGTACTACGCGTGTCTGATGGAAAAATTCAGGGCAGACGTCGACGTGGGCTGCTGGGAGTTTCGCAGGGGGATACGTAAAAACTGGTTTTTTTTTTTTTTTTTTTTTTTCTCCAAGTATATGTTATTTCCTTGGGGATTTTGTTGAATCGACTGCAGCTGAAAAACTACGAATGCCCGAATTTCACGGTTTCCGTGGCGGTGAACAATTACCGAAACTCCAGTGAGATCTTCCCTCTGTCGGATCGAGAAACTTTGAAAAAGCCTATGTTTCTAATGTATCGAGTTGTTTCTCATCAACTTGCCTAGATGAGGGATGAAAAAATACATGAATGTATTTTCCTAGAAAGTCATGCGACGAATGAACCAAATTTACGAGATCATTTACCCTCCGGTAACTCGATCCGCTCGTAACCAGAGAAACCGAGTTTCTCTCGCAGTCATCGACAATGACACCTCCACTTTTTACCCATGTCGATGATCTTTCGAGCAAACGTGCAAGTATCAAATTAAGAGTGGCGTGGATGCAAAACTCTTGTTGCGAAAGCTTGAATTTCTTCGACACCACGATGTAATTGCAAATTGAAAAAGTCGCCTCGCTTATCTCCCTCGCGGCGGTGATGGATCCCTATACATGTACATACGTACAAGGAACGGAGGAGAGTGAAGGAGGATCCTGCGCAGCCAAATCAAAAAATGAAATCGCCCGGAACGTCGTCGACGCGGCAGCAACAGCAGCATCGGAAGCCCCTCCTTTCCAACGCCGTCCTTATCCATTTTCCAAATTCCCTCTCGCTCCAACTTTTTTACTCCCGCTATCTTTGCGACCGTAGCGCATGCATACACACACACACACGTGTGCCTGGTATAGGTATATTTCAAGTCAACGAGCCGGAGAGGAGGAGGACCCCGGGCGCTACTGCCGCAATGTGTACGCGCCGGGAAAAATAACAGCGTAAGAATCCGTCGTCGCTTCTGGAGGGATACGTACAGGTATGCATACACATACACGTATTATACGCAAGAAGAGTGGAGCTTATCTATGGCGAGGAAAAGGGGGAGAGAATCGAAGGGGAAAATAGCACTCGGAGTCGGACTACCCGCGGGTGTGTATAAGTATATACGCGTTGGGGCAAAATGCCTTTGCTCGCGCCGTCGATGTTGTTGTTGCCGTATAGCCGATTTTATTGCGCTTTATACGGGGAGAGAGAGAGAGAGACAATGAAAGATGAAGTTTAAAACAAAAAAAGGAACAAACTCTTTCCTCTTTCGGGTGATGCATAAGCTATGGGCCGATGTTTATTCGATTGCGTTTTCATTTGGGTGT